ACTGTACACCCACCCCCCCCCCCCCCCCGGATATATTGGCTCTCCTGTATTCTGTATGTGCACCTCATGGCGCTCCCGTGCGTCTTGTCGGGCGGTGAATGGGGGCGGAGCTCCTCCTCCTAATCATTACATGTGACATCACAACTCTCTTCCTCTGGTTGCAGTGGACGTACCAGGCCATGGTCCACGAGATGCTCGGCATCAATAACAATCGCATAGACCTGTCCCGCGTTCCGGGGATCAGTAAGGATCTGAAGGAGGTCGTCCTGTCTGCGGAGAACGATGAATTCTACGCTAATGTGAGTTCCCGGACGGAGTGTGTGGGAAAGGTTCTCGGGATCCCGGACGGAGTGTGTGGGAAAGGTTCTCGGGGATCCCGGGCGGAGTGTGTGGGAAGGTTCTCGGGAATCCCGGACGGAGTGTGTGGGGAAGGTTCTCGGGAATCCCGGACGGAGTATGTGGGAAAGGTTCTCGGGAATCCCGGACGGAGTGTGTGGGAAAGGTTCTCGGGAATCCCGGACGGAGTGTGTGGGAAGGTTCTCGGGGGATCCCGGACGGAGTGTGTGGGAAGGTTCTCGGGGGATCCCGGACGGAGTGTGTGGGAAGGTTCTCGGGGGATCCCGGACGGAGTGTGTGGGAAGGTTCTCGGGGGATCCCGGACGGAGTGTGTGGGAAGGTTCTCGGGGGATCCCGGACGGAGTGTGTGGGAAGGTTCTCGGGGGATCCCGGACGGAGTGTGTGGGAAGGTTCTCGGGGGATCCCGGACGGAGTGTGTGGGAAGGTTCTCGGGGGATCCCGGACGGAGTGTGTGGGAAGGTTCTCGGGGGATCCCGGACGGAGTGTGTGGGAAGGTTCTCGGGGGATCCCGGACGGAGTGTGTGGGAAGGTTCTCGGGGGATCCCGGACGGAGTGTGTGGGAAGGTTCTCGGGGGATCCCGGACGGAGTGTGTGGGAAGGTTCTCGGGGGATCCCGGACGGAGTGTGTGGGAAGGTTCTCGGGGGATCCCGGACGGAGTGTGTGGGAAGGTTCTCGGGGGATCCCGGACGGAGTGTGTGGGAAGGTTCTCGGGGGATCCCGGACGGAGTGTGTGGGAAGGTTCTCGGGGGATCCCGGACGGAGTGTGTGGGAAGGTTCTCGGGGGATCCCGGACGGAGTGTGTGGGAAGGTTCTCGGGAAATCCCGGACGGAGTGTGTGGGAAAGGTTCTCGGGGATCCTGGACGGAGTGTGTGGGAAAGGTTCTCGGGGATCCCGGACGGAGTGTGTGGGAAAGGTTCTCGGGAAATCCCGGACGGAGTGTGTGAGAAAGGTTCTCGGGGGTCCCGGGCGGAGTGTGTGGGGAAGGCTCTCTCTCTCTCTGTGGATTTCCAGAAAAAGAAGCCGAAGGAGCAGCAGAAGCTGGAATCCATCACAGACATGAAGGTACGTGCACACGGCAGCCAATCACAGTGCAGCTCAGTGGGAGCCGCTATCCTATTGGCTGTTCTCTCTGTAGATTGGAATCCATGGCGGGAAATGCCGCTTGCCTGACTTACCTCTGGGCCAATCAGCAGCTCTGGCTTTAGAAGTATTTCTATGGCTGTGATCAGTTACACAGTGCACCCTGACGTCAGGCCCCGCCCCTCGAGGAGCTGGGGTCCCTATCTCGCATGCATAGAGGGCCAATGTTACCTTCCCAGCATGCGTGAGGAAGGGGGAGTATCCGGGGGAGCGAGCATGCGGCCTGCAGATAGTGACCTGACCGGGATGTGAACCCGGGGACCCCCCTGCGCTGTGAGGCAGACGTTTTACCCACTGAGCCACTGTTCAGTA